TTTTGATTGCTATGTAAAGTTATTGAGTCTTGATTTGATTCTCAGCTTGACTATTGTTGGCATATAGGAATGTTATACATTTTTGTACATTGATTTTCTAACCTGAGACTTTGCTGAATTATTTATCAATTCTAGGAGTCTTTGGGAGATCTTTGGGTTTTCTTACTATATAAGATTATATCATCAGCAAAGAGTAATAGCCTGACTTGTTTCCCCATTGGGATATCCTTGATTTCCTTCTCTTGCCTGATTTCTCTGGCTAGGAATTCCAGCACTATGATGAATAGAAGTGGTGACAGTGGGCAATCTTGTCTGTTTCAAGTTCTAAGAGGAAATTGTCTCTATTTTTCCCCATTCAGTATGATGTTGGCTGTGGTTTTGTCCTATATGGCCTTGATAATTTTGAGATATATGACATCTATTCCTATTATGTTAAGTGTTCTTATCGGAAAAGGGTGCTGAATTTTGTCAAATGCTTTTTCTGAGTCTATTGAGAGGATTATATAGTGTTTGTTTTTGCTTCTATTTATATGGTGAACTATGGATAGTGTCAGAATGGAGATTTTCCTTTATATTTTGATTGTGGTTCCATAAGAAGGGGGGAGGTAACTGGATTCAACTCACCAGTAAGTTTACTTAATGATATATGTTGTGCTTATATCATTATAGCTGATGACCTGTCAAAGTCAGTACAATCTCTAGCACTTATAAGATGCAGAGAAAACATTCAAATGAAAAGTAAGACATGCCATTTTCAATATCTGTAAGTCTGGAGAGACAATACACATATATTTCTCATTAATGTAGTCAGCCTAGGTAAATATGCGCATGAGTTTTCTTACTAGAGGATTTTTAAGTACATACAGTAATATTGCTAGGAATTAAATATTCCATTGAATTTTATTAAAATATCTAATATTTTCCACAAATTAATCATTCATCTATTCTTTCATTTGTTTTTTTCTTTTTAAATAAATTTATTTTTAATTGACAAAGAAAAATTATATATATGTATGGTGCAACGACAAGATATTTTGATATATGTATACTTGTGAAATGGCTAAATCAAGTTTATTAAGATATTTGCTACCTCACATATTTATTTGTGTGTGTGTGTGTGTGTGTGTGTGTGTGTGGAGAAGGCATAAAAAAATCTTCTTTCTAAACAATGTTGATCAATACACTACATTGTTAAAATGACTATCAGTGTCATGTTTTACAATAGTTTTCCTGAAGTTATTTCTTCTATATAACTAAAATTTTGTATCTTTTGTCCAACATCTCCCCAGTTTCTCAGCCACCCACTGACAAGTCCCAGGTAACCACCATTCTGCTCTCTGGTTCTGTGAATTTAAATCTACTTTCAAATGCAATGGATAGCTTCTCTTTCCCTTAAAGTATTAAGAGACCCAGTAGAGTGCAAGTGAAAATTTTCAGTTTAAATACAATTACTTTAAAACTAAAAGGAACCACAATAAAACTGTCATTATATTTCTAAATTCTGACTTAAGTTTGAGCCTTACATCCACTATGCTCAAGATGTTTTTACTATAAAAGCAAGTTTTTACTATAAAAGCAAGATCTAAAAAAGTTACATGGCTTTTCTGTGGCAATATAGATTATTAGTAGCAGAAGCAGGATTAAAACTGGAGTTGCCTGACTTTTTCAAAGCATTGCAAAATTATTTTAATAATTTCCATCTTAAAATAATTATCACTATCTTTCAAACTTAAGGCAGAGAATATTTAAGTGATATGAGTAAGGTCATACAAGTTATTGGGAGACACTTGAACTGAGATATAGATATTCAGATTTTAAATATATATGATATTTTCTTTAAACTGCTGTTATTTGTAAACATTTTAAGTCTAAAGAGGTCATCAAATAAAATATTTAGAAATCAATTGACATTATGATACATAGTACTGATCTGTCTTCCAATTGCTGAAGAAACAGAGATAAAATTTAACTTATAGAATACATTATTCCAATAATAAGACATGTATCAGGAGTTACCTTCTAATGATATGAGATGAAAATATTTCCACATTCAACTGTGGAGCTGAAGGGCAAATAACTCCATTTGTGATGTTTGATGAGCCCTAAAATGTGAGTAATTTCCTTTTATCTATGAAGAGTGCTGTGAAAATTCCAACACTAGTCTAGTTTCCATTTGGTCCTCTTGTCAATATGATTAACTGCAGTCTTTAAGGCATTATTATGATGTCCAATAAGGAGTTTGTGGGTGAAAATTACAGTCTATTAGAGGAACACTTCTGCTTGCTGAGTTCTGAAGCCAACATTACAAGGTAACAGATTGCCGGTGAAAGACAGTGGTTTTGCAAGAGATTATAATCCACTTCTTGGATTTAGATGTATTACTAAGAAGACAAAGCCTTTTTTATGTACAAGTTTTCTACCAGATTAGGAGATATACATGAGCAGCTGAAATCTCAAAAAACCCAACGTATACTCAGACTATAATGATTCTTTAAGTTCCACATGATGCTTGCATAAACCAACTCTCAAACCCTGCATTGTGTCTTGCTAAGTTTGCATGTATTATTATCAGATGCAGACTCAGTAGGATACAATACAGACTTTGGGAATTAGTTTCTGGAGTTATTGAAAATAATTAAAAAATAACAAGCAACTAGTGAAAAACCCAAATTCTACTTTGGCAAATCATGGAAGTCTTATGTGCATCCCAGTTTCTGAATCTAAATTTTTTATTTGAAAATAATCAAATATTGACTCACTATCTTTAAGGTTTTTTAAACTACTTTAACTAAAATCAGTGGTTTCAGTATCTGTTCAACATACTGACTTAATTTCCTTTTAATATATATACAATAGTGGGATTGCTCGATCGTATGGTAGTTCTATTTAAATTTTTTGTAGAATCTCCATACTGTTTTCCATAATGACTGTAGCAGTTGGTGGACTGTACATTTCCACCAACACTGTAGAAGGTCCTCTTTTCTCCTAATCCTCACCAACACTTGCCATATTTTGTCTTTTGATAATAGCCATTCTAACTGGGGTGAAGTGATATTTTATTGTGTTTTGATTTGCATTTCTCTGATGATTAGCAATGTTGAATATTTTTTCATGTACCTGTTAGCCTTTTGTGTGTCTTCTTTGTCTTGTTTATTGCAGCACTATTCACAATTGCCAAGATATGGAATAATTCTGAGTGTTCACCAATGGTTGAATAGATAGAGAAAATGTGGTCCATATACACAATGAAATAGTATTTAACCATAAGAAAGAATGAAATCCTGTCAATTGTGAAAACATGGATGAACCTGGAAGGGATTATTATTTCCAGTGAAATAATCAAGACACAGAAAGACAAGCACTACTATAAGGAATCTAAAACAATTTATCTCATAAAAGTGAGGAGTAGAATTGTGGTTAACAGAGGCTAGGGAGAGTAGATAGGAGGGGAGCATTGGGAGAGATTGGTCAATGGGTACAGAGTTACAGTTGGAAGGAATAAGTTCTGGTATTATACCGCATAGTATGGTTATAGAGTTAACAATAATATATATTTCAAAATACCTAGGAAACAGGATTTTGAATGTTCTCTTCACAAATAAATAATAAATGTTTCAGGTGATGGATTTGCTAATTATCCAGATTTGATTATGACACAAGGGCTATATGTATCAAAATATTACATTGTACCCCATAAATATGTATAATTATTATGTATCAATTAAAAATAAAATAAAACAAAATAACATAAATAAAACCAATGGTTTTATGTGAGTTTTGTTTTTGCTTCAAAAAGAAATATGAATATGCATACCCTTACAAATTATAAAAGCCTATTTTTATCCTCTTCTTTTTTTTGAATTCACCTTCCTCTGTCAAATGGATGGATGCATTTTAAACATATATAATATCACTATTTAAAAGAACATGTACAGGTGCGCATGTACACACACACAATACAAGAACAGCTCTCATGTCTATTTTCAGCTACACACAATTCTCAAGTCTAGTACTGAATACATTTAAGCAACTGACTACCATCAGGTGCAATATATTATAATTGCACATTTAAATATTTTTTTGAAACCAGTGGAATCAAAAGAAAAGAATAAACCATGATCTGTATATTAAACCCTTTGTTTCCTTCTTTTCTACATTCTTTTGTAAAAGATAACTATTTTCTCCCACTGATCCTCTATCTTTTCGTCATTCTTTCCAGGGGGGCCAGATCTATTGGTTTGCTGCCAAAGCACTGCCTCTGGTGAATGGGCATCTCTGGCCTAACACAGAGCAAGTTCATATACTTCACTTTAGTTCTGGATACCTGGATCTTCTTGGATTTATTAATAGGGAATTTGGGTGGCAGGAAAATGTCTAATACATTATTCACAATTTGTATATTTTTAAACATTTCTAAAGATATTATAAAAAGTGATGTTTTATGAAAGGAAGTTTTGTTTTGTTTTTCCCAATTCAAAACAGAGTGAAGGGAGATTCCCGCCAACTTCCGGCTCATCTGATACCAGTCTTACTTGTTTTCATTATGTCACCTGATTCCAATTGCATACATTAATCTGTAGCATTCTGGGATTTTCCAAAGTAGAGTCATATTATTAAATTAAAAGTCCTTCATCACTATCTTATGGCTATTCATCAATATTCATGCTTAAATAAAATTGTTGCTTTCTAAGTGAGGTAGAAAGCCACCAAGGCAGGAAAATCAGCCTGACAGATCAATAGCACCTACACAGATTTCTGAGAACAGTGGAGAGATAGTGTGAGTGCTCCATATGCTTTGGTAATGAATGAAATAAACCACCCTATGAGTATAGTTGCACACATATACTAGTTTTAGAGATTGAGCATAGTAAATGAGAAAAAATGAATTGAATTAAGGAAATTTGGTTATGATCTCCAAAGTTCCTTTATACCTGGGTCTATGATTCTAAGACTGTTGCCTAGAAACATCTTGGTCAAATATATGTAAACATTTGGATGGATTCAGATTGATAGATCCTGCAGACATGACCATGGCTTGTGGACAGGTAAAGTCTATGTGGTGCGTGTGTGTGTGTGTGTGTCCAACAAGACTATGGAAAGTTAATCTTTACAAGCTATTTGAAAATGGAGGTTATAGAAATAAGACATTCTAATTAAACTAATATTGAATGTTATTAATATTAGACTTTCTCTACTTGCTTTCAACAAATAAATTTATTTATAAATAAAATTTATTTCAACGAATAATTTGTATAGTGTTTTCAATCATAAGTTTTAAAATGAATGTCAATAGTATATAAATATAGAATTCATTTGCATCCAATATTTAAGAGTAAACAACATTAATAATATCTATGTCTGATGTGTCAATGTAAGTTCACTGATTGTAACAAATGTACCACTCTGGTTTGGGATGTTGATAATGGGGAAAGCTGTGGGGATTAGAGGAGTGGGGAACTCTCTATACTTGCCATTCTTTTGCTGTTAATCTAAAACTGCTCTAAAATAAAGTAAAAATTAAAGTAATAAAAATAACAATATATAAAAATATCTATTTTATCTGTAAATAAAGTCTAGAATTTTTATATCTACCACGTATCATTAGTTTTGCCTAATATTTTTAATGTCTTTTTAAATATATTTTAATCTTTAGGCTTTGCTTTCATTTTCCACCCCTTTCTACCAAGTAATATATTTGTTGAAGATGCCAGGTAATTTATCTTATGGTTTCCTATAATTTGGATATATTAATTTCTACTAAATCGACCAAAATAATATTCATATAATGGTATGAATTTAATTTGATATTTTCCGAAGTTCTTTTATAAGACCTGATTTCATTCGTTTGACCCTTGCATTACAGGTAAAATGTGAGATAGGAATGATACCTTTAGAGGACTGTAATGAGACATAGGGTTATAAAAGCCAAGTCAGACTGGTCGTATGTTTACCTGGGATTTCTTGAGATCAAAACCTGAAGGAAATAGCTGAACTGTTCTCAAGGTGAGAGCCAGGAATCATTATAAAACTTCAGTTTCAATAAACAAGGGAAAAATTTCTTGAAGGGAAATTTATATTGAATTTAAAGCTATGGAAGATACAGAGACAAGAGTATGCAGATCAAGGAAAGATTTGAATAAATAGTTTAGGAGATGTATAGCCAGTACTAATGTGTTGAAATTTTAATTTTGTGTATTACCTTCCCCGAGGCCAGATTTGATGGTTTACATAGATCATAATGAACTGGGTACGTATTAGTTTCCATTGGAAATATAGGTATCACTTTTCTCATTTTATAGACAAAGTGTTAAGCTCAAATTGACTGCTCATCCAATAATCCTTTCATTTTAGCATATTGCTTTCAAATGATCTCAGTGGTTTTCATTCTTGCATACTGTTTCATCCAGGCCAAGAAAAATATTAGTTTCAATAAATATATTTAGCATTCCTCAATAAAAAAAAAAATTAGTACCCACAAAATCAACAAAAAGGAAACTATTTTAAAGTTCCCGATTTTGATGATCAACCAAGTTTTTAATCTACCATTCAGATCACACCAAATATCATATTTCTACCTCTTATATTATTGTTTGTTATTATTGTTTCTTTCCTGTGTTGATATATTTTAAAAGTACAGACCTAAAGTAACAAGATGTAGTGGAACATTTCTCATTTTGGAGTCAACCTTCTTTTTTTGTGTGTGACCTTGGGCAACTTACATGCTAAGAGCCTCCTTTTCCTCCTCCTTAAAATGGGACTTAAAATACCTAACTTAAGTATGAATATTAAATAAAATAATGCAAGATAAGAGACTGGATGGTAACCAGTACTCAATAAATGCTAGTTCCCTTTATTTTTTTAATCAGTGGGGTAAATTATTTTAACAAAAACAACAACAAAAAAGATATACTGTGGCTAGGTTAATTAAAAGCAAAATTTTGCCATAAATTTTTTGTAAAAATAAAAGGAAAAATGAGTAGATTGGGTTTAATCTCTTTTAAATATGTAGATCTTGCCTTTAGAGTATATTAATTCATATATTTATATTTAGGACAAATAAATATACTCTGGGGAGTCAAAGAATATTTCTTTCTCTAATAACAAAATCAGCTTTAAAAGAAAACATTATAAAGTATCTGCAAACTTTGAAGAATCTAAACTTTGCTAGTGTAAACATGAGAGAACACATATAATGAAAGTGTCCTGTTGCTCAAAAAAAATTAGAAATGCTTTCTGTTGTAAAACACTGTGAGAAACATGTTTAGCAACAAATAAGTAAGTGAAGAATTTTCCATGACCCTTTTGTTTGCAGACAAAATTCCCCTTCTCTCCCAGTCTTAACTAGGGCATTAATCACCCAGACAATCAGGTGCACACTGAACAGCTGGCCTGAATAACCTGTGAAATCCTAGACTCCTCCTAATTGGTGTTGACTTGCAGCACTAGCCCAGTGAAGTTCAGGATGTCTACAGTGAATGTGGAGTGCAAAATAGTTCCCCATTTGTCTGACCCTCTGGGGAATAATTTTTTTTTTTTTTAATCAGAACAAACTGAGCTTTTCTGTTATTGAAGTGGTATTTGAGTCATTAAACTAAGCTCAGCTAGCATAATGCTTGCTTGCCAAGAAAAACCTCCCTGCTTCAAATTCTAGGATTCTCCCTTATACTTAAATTTTACATCTGGGAGCAGATTGGAAGCTTTTCAACTCCTATACAATTTTTGTTTTTTTCTGGAAAAGGGGACTATTAGCCACCTAATTCAACTAATATTATCACTTTTTACAGAATTAATGAGATGCTATAATTGCCGACACTGTTTACCTGCTAGTCTGGGAGTATATTTCAAAGGCATGTGAATTAGCCATCGCCAGCTTTATAATTAGCGTGTGACAACTTTAATTCCAATGGCATGTTTAATCAACAGCAACAGATGGAAGTGTGCCTGGTGGTAAGTCACCCCCTTCACAGCTCTTGATAGCGAATTTGTCCCACTGGCTCTGAGTTATAAGCTATTTAGCATAGCAAATGCTAAATTACTGGGAATATTCTCAGTTTTTTTTAGACTGTCAGAGATTTGGTACCCCAAAATAATTATAAGCACTGACATATATTGACTACTCATTACATACTAAATACTATTCCCCTTTTAACTTAATAAAGCCTCCAAACAACCCTTCAAATTGGGTAATTCTTTTTTTTTTTTTTTTTTGAGAAGATCTCGACTTTTTGCCCAGGTAGATGAGTGCCATGGCTTCAGCCTAGCTCACAGAACTCAACTCCTGGGCTCAAGCATCCTCCTGCTTCAGCCTCCAAGTAGCTGAGACTACAAGGCATGTACCAACATGCCCGGCTAATTTTGTCTCTCTCTCCTGTAATATTAGTTGCCATTAATTTCTTTCTATTTATCAGTAGAGACGGGTCTCGCTGTTGCTCAGCTGGTTTCGAACTCCTAACCTTGAGCAATCCGCCTGCCGCGGCCTCCCAGAGTGCTAGGATTACAGCATGAGCCACCGCGTCCAGCCAGGTAATTCTAATATTCCCATTTTGCAGGTGAGGGAATTGACCCTAGAAAATCAAAGCAACTTGCCTTGGGTTCCTCATAAGCAGTAAGGCCAAGACTTAGATTCAGGCTTTTGGCTCCTAAGATCTGTTCTGTTAGCCACTCTGATCATGCTATAATAAAAATCATTTGGTGATTTTGAGTGCATGTGGCTGTTTACTGTAGTGATTTTGTATTTTGCTAACAAAACTATTATTTTGTGAATTTTATGACTATAGAACATAATTTTCCGACTTTCCTTCTCATTAGGGTGAGTCATAGGCACAGGAGGCAGAAACTGTCTGCTTGGTCTTTCCTTAATCAGCAAACATGTGCTAAATCAGAATCAATCACTATGCAAAGTTTTGATTGATCATTATCTCAAATAGCAGCTCCTAGCAACTTTCAGAGACCCTCTCACTGATGCCCTTTCTACCTCCCACAGGTTGTTCGGGTTGTACCTTCACCAAGGCTCCTGTAAGTGCAAAACCTTGTGACTTTACCCTCAACCCACGTAAGCCACCCCATCGTAGGGTTTTGCCACTGCAGGATAAATGTGATCCATCAAGCTCAGATCTTTGTCTCTAAAGTTCCCACACTTAAGATATGAAACTATACAAAGTGAAGGGATGCCAAGGTTAGGAATTGAGATTACTTTGACCTGTACATATCAAATCACAATTTATCCTTCTCCTCTCTTCATCAATGGACAATATAAATTATTCACATCTAGATCCAGGACCAGTGGTTTTCAAAACTGCCATAAATGTTGACATTATTTGGGGAAATTAAACAATACAATACTTCAGCAACTATGCCAAATTCTTATCAGTTATTTAACATCTGTCCTTGTTATAACCTCTCCCTGTGATTCTCATGGATAGCCAGAGTTGAGATGCCCAGCTTTAGCCTTTCAAATACAAAGGCTTGGAAAGTGTTTTTCAGAAGAAAAAAGTTGTGTGCTTATATTATAGTATAACACAGTTAATCACCTGTAACAGCCATTTGTTGGGCAGAGAAAGTAATAATCTGAAAAGGCTCTAGTCCCTACCACAATTCTGAGGCATTTTATCCCCTCTAATCTGTAATGTGTTGTTAGAGAAATGACAACTGTGATGTGATCAGAACAGATACCACTTTCATTTCTTTATAATTAATCCCAGGAAAGATCTTTATTTGTTTTAGAAATAAATATCTGGCTGCTAGACATGGTTTAATAGCCTTAGAATTAGAAAAAAATTATATTAGATTTTTTTTTGTTGTTTTTTGTTCTTCAAAGATTGTTGGCATTTTCTCCTTCACTTGGAATACATAAGCAATTATTTATTTTAGTTTAGTTTATTTTTTATTTCAGAATATTACGGGGTACAAATGTTTTGGTTACATGGATTGTTTTTGTACTGCTTGAGACAAAGTTATCAGTGTGTCCATCTCCCAGATAGTGTACATTGTACACATTAGGTATGATTTCACCGTTCCCTTACTCCTCCCTCCTGCCTGTTTGACTTCCGTTGAGTTTTACTTGATACCGTGCACATGAGTGCTATTTGGTTAGTTCCAATTTAGTAGTGAATATATCGTAGTGTGTTTTTTTCCCATTCTTCCCATACTTCTCTTAGGAGAATGGTCTTTGTTTCCATCTAGATTGTTTGCACAAAGTACTTCAATCTCATTTTTTATGTAGAATGGTACAACTCCCATGGTATACATATACCCCATTTTAATCTACTCTCTGAACTATGGACTCTTGGCGTTGATTCCACATCTTGCATTGTGTAAACTTGGTCTGCAATTGAGGGCTAAGATTTTTTGATAAAATGATTTATTTCCTTTGGGCAAATACCCAGTAGTGGGATTGCTGGGTCAGATGGTATATACTTCTGTAGTTCTTTATAGGAATCTCATACTATTTTCAAGAGGTGTACTAGTCTGCAGTCCTACCAACCAGCATATCAAGCATTCTTTTTCTCTGCATTAAAGCCAGTCCTATATCTTTGGACTTTTGTTTAAAAGCCATCTCCACTGGTTAAGTAATATCTCATGTAGTTTTCATTGCATTTCCTGATAATTACGTGATGCTTGACGCATTTTTTTTATATGTGTTATTGACCATTGTGCTATTCGTTCTTTTGAAAAGCTGCTGTTCATATACTTTGTCCACATTTTAAGGGGTTATGTTGATTTTCTTGCTGATTGCTGAGTTCTTTGTAGTTTCCAGTTATTAGCCCTTTATCAGATATATAGCATGCAATTTTCTCCCATTCTGTAGGTTGTCTATTCACTCTATTGATTATTTCCTTGACTGTGCAGAAGCTTTTTAATTTGATCAATTCCCATTTATTTATTTTTGTTGTTGCTATCCAAAGTCATTCACAGATTCAGGCAATCCCCATCAAAATACTAGCATCATGTTTTATAGATCTAGAAAAAATAATTCTACACTCGTTTGGAAACAGGAAAGAGCCTGAATAGCCAAAGTAACCTTAACAAAAAGGAGAAAAGAGGCATAACTCTACCAGACTTTAAGCTATACTACAAAGATATAGTAACCAAAACAGCATGGAATTGACACAAAAATAGAGAGATAGATCAATGGAACAGGACAGAAAACCCAGATATGAAACCATCCACATATTGCCATCTGATCTTTGACAAAGCAAACAACAATTTACACTAGGGAAAAGAATCCTAGTCAATAAATGGTGCCAGAAAAATTGGATAGCCACAGGTAGAAGATTGGAACATGATCCATATCTCTTACCATTCACATAAGCAATTCTGAATGGCTCAGGTTGATTTCCTGATATTTCCACTTTTGGTGAAATTCTTTAAAATATGCAGATGAGCATACACCCCCCCCCTCACCTCCCCACACACGCACAAAATATATCAGTGTTTAGAGAACCTTGATTTACACATAGGGAAACATGCATTATCAATTTTATGTAGCTTGATTCACTCACAGCCACATACATAATATAAATTTTATATAAACTTAACTGATTTACTGACAGTCTTATGTATGATCTTAGTGAAACAACCCAAAATGTAATTTTTAATGTACATACAATCTCCTCAAATTTAAAGAATGAAAATATTCTTTTTATTACTAGTTGTTCTATGGATGGAACTAGATTACTAATATTATAAAATAACTAATCTTAAATAAAAGTTAAATATATGACAAAGTCACTGTTTTGTACCATGTACTCAATAATTAACCAAAACAACAAGACATAAAAGTTAATTCTACTTGCTCAAATAAGATAGTACCATCTATGCATTATCTTGCCATGGGGCACTGAAACTTTTATGAAGTTTAAGGAGAAAATTCGCCTAAACATAATAGTACTATGAATAACATTATTGTTATGCTTAGGTGTTGCCATTTTTTTTTTTTTTTAAGAAATGGGGTCTTCTTCTATCACCCAGGCTGAGTGCAATGGCCTGATTATAGCTCACTGTAACCTCAAATGCCAGGGTTCAAATAATTTTTCCACCTCAGCTTCCTGAGTAGTTGGGACTACAGGCACATGCTCCCATGCCCAGTTAATTATTATTATTATTATTATTATTATTATTATTATTATTGCAGATGGGGGGCCTTGCTTTATTGTCCAGGCTGTTCTCAAACTCCTGGCCTCAAGAAATCCTCTTTCCCTGGCCTCTCCAAATGCTAGGATTACAGACACAGGCTATCATGCCTGGTATTTTCATATGTTTTTCACATTTTTTTAAGTGATAAAAGGATGCCTTGATGTGAATCCTTTGGCTTTGCTTCACTCTCTTCAGGGAAATATTTGTGGTTGGTCAGCTGTACAGGGTTCTATTCTTACAAGAGTTCATGCATGGTTTTCTCTTCTGTCACAGTCTTGCAATTCTTAATAATTATGAATAAGAGGAACCACATTTTCATTTTGCACTGGGCCTTGCAAATTATGTAGCTATCCTCCTCCACTCTTGCTGATATTTACTCTTGTAACTACAAGGTTTATGCTCCTGATGTCCCTGCCTTACATTTCCTGACTTAGACTCAATGCTTGATGGCAGAATCTGACTCTTGCCTCTCCCAGGGCAAGGTTGACATTTGTTTCCTCTTGTTCTGTGCTCCACACCATTTCTGGTAGTCTCTATGCCTCATCAATCTCAGAAGACTTGAGGACACACATTCCAGTGTGCAGTATCAGGGTTCTAACCTTTAATACCTTCTGGGTTGGCTTACACTCCTCCTAATCACCCACCCTAGCTGCTAATAAGAATAATGTATTGATTTAAAAACTGGAAGTTATTTTGCCTACTCAGAACACCTCATTTCTTATAAAATGTAGAATGCAAAGAAATCTATGCCTGAGTCTGGCTATTTTGATCCCTTTTATACTGGTTTGATTACTTTCAGTCTCAGAAGTTGATATATTCTTGCTATTTCCTCAAATTCTAATCAGATACTTCTTTTCCAATCTTGCTGTATTCTTATAGCATACATACTGTGAAAATCATGTATTATGGGTTAATGAAATTGCTTTTATGAAAAAAGAGTATTTTTGTTTTTTTTTTTGGCAGATATCACTTTTTCCCATGCTATGAGTGAGTCGTGCCGTCAGCCTAGCTCACAGCACCTCAAACTCTGCTCAAGCAATCCTCGTGCCTCGCCTCCCAAGTAGCTGGGCACTACAGGCATGCCCACCATGCCTGGCTAATTTTTTGTGTATTAGGTATAATTAGTTATGAATACCCGGGTAGTGATATATAGCTTATACTCTATTTATATTAGTTGCCTTAATTTCTTCTACCTGGCCTGTTTGAGTAGTAGAGACAGGGTCTCGCTGCCGTTTCAGGGCTGGTTTCAAGACTCGCTGAGGGGCAGCATTTCTGCTGGCCTCAGCCCCAGACGGCTCAGGATACAGGCGTGTGCACGTGTACGTCACAAGAATATTCTTTTCTAATAGGTGATTTCTAAAATCTAATGAAGTCTTTGGATGCGGTGATGACTTGCTTTTTCACCAAAAGGAAAAAAAGAATGAGCGTAAATCAAGCCACAGCCAACATTCACACAAAAATCCCTGACTGGAAATTATGGGCACCATTCAAGATGTTTTATATTTTTGGCCACATTTACAAATAGAGCTATCAAAAACAGATTTACAAATAAGACAATCATACCATAGCCATTTTATCAATATAGAAGTACAGTTCAATATATGAATAGTCCCTAATTTAAAAACAATTTGTAAATATTTCCTTAAGGAAATAATTTAAATCATGAGGAAATGTGTCTGAAAACCTAAAAGCAAATATGTATAAAAACAAACAGCAAGAGATACAATGGTTCTGTGAATAATACCCAAGCTACAAATGTGTTTCTGTATCATTGATGTTACATTTACTATTCCCAAAATGATTGATATTTATTGTTTCTTGGACTATACATGCGTTTATTTTATTTATTTATCAAACTACATGTCACGATTATTTATAGC